CTCTGGCCCACTGCTTAGTGCAGAGCATGCTGCGCACAGTGGGACCACAGCTCTGGGTGTACCACTCTACCCCTACAGGACAGCAGGAAGTGGTCGGTGGCATCTCCAAGTTGTACTCGCCAGAGTGTTCGCATGTGCTTGGGTTCGCGTGTGCGGGTGTGGTTGAGCCAGGTCTGTGTGCCCCTCTCAGCCCTGAAGAACTCGCTCTGTCAGTGATGAGCATGGGGGCGGCTGGCTGGAGAATTCCATGTGGCCTTTTCTCGGAGAATTTGTCTCCAGTCGGAGCCAAGGCAGAGCATTCACTGCAGCGAGCAGGAATTCCTCCCTCACCTAGCGGGAGCCATAAATATCTCCCCCGCCTATGACTGGAAAAAATATATACAAAAAAAAACAGTGCTGTCAGTCGGCTTCATGTGCAGCACTGGGCTCTTCCTGGCAGCTGGAGCTTCCCCTCCAGAGCTCCGATGAAGAGGCAGAGCCCTCTTGGAAACACGCACACGTGTGCACACGCACATATGCGTGCAAACAGGCAGGATCAAGAGAGGAAAGGGGGCTAGAGACAGGAAAAGTGAAGGAGGACAGAGAGAGGGGTGTGGAGTCAAGACAGCAGATTTCAGAGGGAAAGGCTAAGAGCTGAATGAAGGAAGGAGGAGGCTTCAAGGACTGGTAAGGTAGAGTTGGGGGGGGCAGTGAGAAAGACAATACTGGGGGGAGCTTTGTGGCTGTTCCAGGGGATACAGAGGATGGAGAAAGGGGCCCATACTGCCAACTGTTAGCTATGCCTTGCCCAGGTCTGGGTGCTGCACGTGTCGGCCAGTCCACGAGCCATCGACATGGGGTGACTGATGACGTGTGTGCGGGTGAACAGGGAGAAGCCCTAGACCCAGGAGCCAAATCCCATTTCAGAGCCTTGTTCTGCAGAGCCCCCTTGGGTCCACGCTTAAGACAGTCCAGACTCATCACCTGCTCTTACATAGTCCTCCCTTCTGGTAGCCTTCTCGGTGGCCAGAGCCCCAGACACCACTGGCAGGTGAGGCTTCTGCATCAGAGGTGTGGCTCGCATGAGTAACCCAGGTCCTGAGAGGATTTGCAGAGGACAGTCAGCAGAGCATGCCCGCATGCGCAACGTGAGCTAGTCTGACCTGCGGGCAGCATCCAGAATGAGCTCTGGGCTCCAGAATTCTATTCGACCCCAAAGCTGGCCCATGGGCAGGGGTCCTGATATGTGGCTGTCCAGGCATCTGTCGTCAGGCACAGTGGCCGGACTCAGTTTTGAGGAAGTCTCCTAGGGTGGGCATTGTCAGAGGAAGCTTAGAGCACAGAAGTCGCTCTCTATCCTCAGTGCAAGACACAAGGAAAATGTTGAGTTGTCTCTGGGCTGAGAGGAGGTAGCAGTGCCCCTGGTCCGTGTGTCCCATCTCGAGTCTTCCCAGGAAGTGAAGGCAGTTGCAGTCTTTGAAGCGAGGTGCAGGCAGGGGTCTGGGTTTCTGTGTTGGCCTCAGTCGAGGTGGCCCTGAACTCGGGGTGTGTGCTGAGGGTCCCCACTGCTCTGGTGACCAGGACAGAGAGAATTGTGAGCCAGGAAAGGCTGCCAGGGGACGTGGCCCCAGAAGGCTGGGGAATCAGAGTGACAGCCTCAGGGACATAGGCCGGGAGGGAGAGGATAAAAGATGGAGCCAGGCACCTGCCCGCCTTGTGCCAGCCAACACCGTCCCTGCCCCTCCACTGGCCCGAAGGCCACCAGCTGGCCCATTGTGCCCGTGAGAAAGCAGACACTGGAGGGGGCTCCCGTGTGGCAGGAGCTCACTCATGCACGCCTGCCAAGGGAGAGCCACCCTTGCAGGGTCGGGGGCGAGGGGAGAAGAGGGGCAGCAGAGAGAGAAACCCCCGCCGTGTAGCAGTCAGGTCTCCTCCTGTGCTGTTGGCAGGGGGCAGTGCGTGGGGCCTGCGAACAGGAGATAAAGAGTTCAGGCAGAGGGTTTTCTCTCACTAACCGTGGATTTGTGTGTTTGTTCAGCTGGTGGTTCTGATAAGCCCCATTCTGCCAGATAAAAGCTGAGCAGCCATGAGGCGGGGCCTGGGGCCTTCCTCCTCTCTGTCCCGAGGTTATCCCCTCCCCCAGGGAGCCCAGACAGGGAAGGTTCCGAGTCAAGGTGCTGGGGTGTCCTGTGCCCATCCGCTCGGGGCTGTCCAGAATAAGCCCTGACCTCAAGTCATGACTCCCCGAAAAAACCCCTCCGTTTAAGAAAGCTGGCCCGGCTGGCCCCCGCCTCTGAGTTGGGAGGGCCTCTCCTCGCCCTCCTCGGCGGCCGGTGCACCACCGCCCAGCGGCCTGTCTGGGCCCTGCAGCCGCTGGCTGGGCTCCTGCCAGCTCCCTTCCCCTGTCGGTGCAAGGCGCACTCCTGAGCTGACTGGGTGGACACGGGCCTGCCCCCATCACGGCCCTTACTGCCCTGTGGGGGCAGGGGTCCACTCTTGCTGAACTAGTGGAGCCCCTGGGCCTGGGGACGGCCCATGGGGGCTTCGGCCACCTTGGAGGGGAGCATGGTGTTCCCAGGCCCCTGGGCTCAGCCCTCCCTGGCCCTTCTGCTCGGCACCGGCCGGGAGAAAGGGGAGGCCGCTTGAGTAGGATGGTGGGGGCCCTGGCTGCAGCTGCCCCAGCCCTAGGGCTGGCTCCTGTGCCTCGGAGCCCGGGTCCAGATTTCCAGTGTCTCTGCCTTTTGTCCTGGAGCTAAGCTGAGCATGCCGGGGCCGGCGGCGGTGGCATTGTGGGGCCGCCAACCGTAAGATGGCTGCCAAGGGCTAAAATGGCTGCCAGCAGCGCCCGGAGCAGCGCCCGGAGGCGCGTGGCAGCCGCCTCGCCTGCGCCGGCCCTCGCTCCTGCTTGCTTCTCTACATGGAGCTAATAGTAATAACAGCAATAACGTTTGGGGCAGTGTCCTGGTTTAGAAGGATTTCCTGTCTGTCGCGCTCTCCTGGAGCCCCATTTGTCTCTGCCTCAGTCGCTGGCCCACCTCCATCTCTTTGTCGAGTTCTCGCTCGTCTTTCTGTCCCTGCGCTGGGCGTGCGCATGCGCGAGGCTTTGCGTCTCCACCTGGCCCTTTTCGGAGGGCCAGGACAGCTCCCATGGGGTGGACTCTAGGGCGTCCTCCGTCTCCCTCGCTCCACTGACCCAGGCGTGGAGGGCTTGGTGGGGACCGAGTTGCTCCTGGGACAGGGGGGGTTGGTAGCAGGGATCCCTGGGCAGCAGAGGTTGGAGCATGTGACCCCTGCTGGGCTCCAGGAGCTGGGCCTGGGCCTCTGCCCTTCCTGAGTTAGGAAGTGGGGAAGGGGCAGTCCTAAGAGGAGGCATCAGGCTCAGGGCCTGGGTCCAGGAAGGCCCTAGGGTGGGCCACCTGCTGCCTTGGCCCCTCACCTCCCTCCTGGTCGGATAGGGCTTAAATCAGACCTAGAAAGCCAGGAACAGGCGAAGGTGAGAGTGACAGAAAATTCACACTCACAAGATGCTGTGGCAGAGAGGTTGCCCTCCCTAGAACTTAGGAGGAAGTCCCGTAGGTTCTCTCCAGAGCGTAGAGTGCCACTAGCAAAGAGGTAGCCTAGGGTGGGATTAGTGTCTCCAGACCACCACAGGGGTTGAGTGCAAGGGGCAGTGCAGAAAGACACACCCCCAGCCGGAGGGGGTGAGGGGACCCCATTAGCACTTTCCTTTTAAACCTCCATTTTCTTGTTTTGTGATGAGATTTATTATTAATTTTTAGCATTAAAAAAAAAAGGTAAAGATGGGGGAAGTGGGGCCTGAAACGGTCCTGGGGGGCAGCCTGTCCTGTCCCACTGGCCACACTGAGGTAGGTAGCCAGGAACTAACCTGAGCTGTGATGGGGCCTTTGCTCTGAGAAGTCTGCCATTCTGCCCGCCAGCCCCAGTGGGGGCCTGTCTTGCCCTTTAGGAATCTCCTTGCTGGTCACTCCCCAACATGAGCATCTCAGCTGTGAGGCCAACAGGCTGACCACGGGATGGTGGGGGAGACCCAGGAGGCGGGATCGCTCTAAAGAATCGGGCAAAGCTCTGGCCAACACCAGTGCCCAGTTTTCCCGATGCCACCCCCTTGTTGTCCCCCTGCGGGCAGCTGATTCTTTACCAAATGCCTGCCTTCCTCCTGCCCCACAACCTGCCCTGGCCCCCCTCCATCACCCTCTCGCCAGCTGTCATGCCCAGGCAGGCATTCTGGAGGTCCCCGTTGTGCCCCTGGCGCACAAAGCTTTAAGGACCTGGGGGGTGGGGGTGGGGGGCTTTCCCAAGCTCAGCAAAATATTCACACACACACTCCACCCTGCCCCCAGTCCTCTGCGAGCTCCCACCGCACAATGGGCCCTTGTCTCGGGGCTCCCTCTGAGCAGCTGTGGCACTGGGGCATGAGACAGCCCAGACAGGCTGGCACAGAGCGGGCGACGGCATCAGGGCAGACCTCCCCCCTCCGTGTTGCCAGGCACTGCTTGTAAGCAGAAAGGTGAGGTGGGGGTGGGCAGGCAGACAGGAATGGCTCTAATTAATGAAGTGAAGGCAGGATGGGGTTGCTCCTCTGGGCTTTTGAGCCGGGTGGAAGATGGAGGACCCTCGGGTCCATCCCAGCTGTGCAGAGATGATCACTGGCTTCTCTCCTGGGTACCCTCCTTGCCCTGACTCTTGGCCAGTGCTGCTCACTCACAGGCAACTTTGCCCCCAGGGCACATCGGGCTATGTCTGGAGGCAGTTTTGGTTGTCACAACTGGGGTGCTCCTGGCATCTAGTGGGTAGAGGCCAGGGATGCTGCCAAACACCCTGCCGTGCCCAGGACACCCACCACAGTGGGGTTGTTCCTGCCCCTCTTCTGGTCTCACAGGTCTCCCTGGGCAGCTTGAGGAGGGAAGGAGGGAGGGTGAAGGTGTTTACAGGGCTGGAGAGGTAGCTATTGGTGGAATACTTTGGTCTTGACCTGTCTCCCCACTTTGTGTCTTCTGCAGAATCCGGACAATCAGATAGTTCAAACCAGCAAGGAGATGCGGACATCAAACCACTGCCCAACGGTTAGTGCTCCCTGGCCCACCTGCCCTCCCACCCACAACCTCCCTCTTGCCCTGCACCCCATGCCCTCCTCTGCCCTCCCACGCCTTGGCTGACCTGTTCCTCCCTGGTTCTTCCCCTTTACTCAACCGCCCCTCCGAATTGAACTTTGGCTGCCAGCTAGAAGGGAGGGGATTCATCCACCTGGAGCACACTCCCTCTTCCCTTAAGACTGAGGACCCCTGGGGGCCAGCCTGGGGCTGGGACACAGGGCTTGGGAGGGAGCAAGTGGGGAGGTGGGGGAGAGCTTTGGGGAAACAGGCAGGCAGCCCCTCCTGGGTTCGCCTGGACTCACTCACTCTTTTCCCTCCTCAGGGCACTTAAGTTTCCAGGACTGTTTTGTGACTTCTGGGGTCTGGAATGTGACGGAGCTGGTCAGAGTATCACAAAGTAAGTGAGTTTTTCCTCCCGGGCCAGGACTGAGTTGGCAGGGATGGGGCTGAGGAGGTGACCCCCCTCACTGAGGGGTTCTTGCTGGGGAGGGGGCACACAGGCTTTCCTGAGACATGGCCTCATTGGCACCAGAGAGCCCCATCTCTAATCTCTACTTCGTAGGAAAAAAGTCACAGCTAAGGGCTCTTTTCCAATAATGACCCTGAGGCAGTAGGAAGTTTCCTCAGCAGGTTTCACAGTGAACTTGTCCTGGGGCTTCCGGGGAGCTGCTCATGGCGACAAAACAGGCCGCAGCGGGCCTCCCGCACCTTTCGAATAACCCTCTTGCTTCTTCCCAGCTCCCGTTGCGACAGCATCAGGGCCCAACTTCTCGCTGGCAGACCTGGAGAGTCCCAGCTACTACAACATAAACCAGGTGACCCTGGGGCGGCGGTCCATCACGTCCCCTCCTTCCACCAGGTGAGCCCAGCACCTCAGCCTTCCCCTTGCCCTCAGGCCATCTCGAGTGTGGTGGGCAGCTATCCTGCAGTTCCCTGGGTGCTTCAAAATGTCACCCCTTTTTGAGGGCACCCCCTGAACTTCCTGCTCTGTGCTCTCCTGTGCACTCAGCCCTGGGAACACACACCTAAACGAGGCATGGCTCTACCAGTGGGGACCCGAGAAGGTGCCTCTCTTGGGGATGTGACATTGGAGCTCAGACACACAGGGGGCTGGTAAGGGCGTGAGTGCACACTCCAGATACAGAGTGTGCCGTCTATCCCAGCCGAGGCTGGACAGGCTGGCAGGGCCACCCCTTGGAGGGCTTCAGAGGCCAGAGGAAGGTGTTTAGACTTAAAACCCACTTAAGAATTTTAAGCAGGAGATGCTGGGGATGTGGTTCCAGAAAGCACCTCCAGCAGCCGCGAGTGTAGGTGGGACTGGACATCCAGTGAGAGGCCCTCGGCCAGGCTAGAGAGGGGGCCTGAGTCCTGGAGGTGGGGGAGTGGCATGCGAGGGAAGGGTGTAGTTGGGAGATGTTTGGTGGTGGATACGGTAGGCCCTGGTCAGGACCAGTCGTGGAGGGGACGGTGGGATCCTGTCCCTTTTTATAACGACTTGGATGTTTTGCTTCAATGTGAAAGTTATTGGTGTTCGTTTTGATTGGTTTAAATGGTGCATTAAAATATTATAATGTTTTCATATTTAGTAATATTTTAACACAAAATAAAATCTCGATGAGGGAGTTTTGTGGCATCCCCCTGCATTTTTGTCCCTGATGAGTGCCTCAGTCGCCTCACTCTGGCCCTGGGGGCCGATGGAAAGTAGAAGGTGGGGCCAAGGAAACAGTTGAGGGTTTTGGCTAGTTCTCCGACTTGGGCCGCTTGGTGGATGATGGTATCATGGACTGAGAAGGGGCTGGAGGAGAAGAAGGAGTGGGTGGGCTGGACCCGAGGGGCTCTAGGGCTGGTCTGGGGTGGGCATTCAGTGAGTGCCCAGAAATGCTGCTGTCAGGAGGCACCTGCTCCCAACACAGAGGGCCATTGGTGCAAGCTTCCTGGGCCCCAGTCCCAGTTCCTCAGCCCAGCCTTGGCCCACCTGATTCCTCTCCTCCTTTCCCAGCACCACCAAGCGCCCCAAGTCTATCGATGACAGCGAGATGGAGAGCCCTGTCGATGACGTCTTCTATCCTGGGACAGGCCGCTCCCCAGCGGCTGGCAGCAGCCAGTCCAGCGGGTGGCCCAACGATGTGGATGCAGGTATGGGCGCCACGGGGCCTGACCCAGAGCAGGGGCAGCCCAGAGTCTCTTCTTCCCCCTCAGTTTATCTGGCGATTCTCCCACTGTTGGTGGCACTGCCCGGCTTCTCTTGCCTCCTGTTCTTCCAGAGGAGGGCAGACCAGGCCGAAGGAGGGAGCAAAGGCGAGGAGCGGGCCTGTCCCTGAGTGGGCAGCAGAGCGCACGGCATGGTGGGAGGAAAGCAGAGGCCTGCGGTACCCTGCAGCGGAGGCTGTGGCCTCCTCTTCACAGCCTTCTCAGCCTCGTTCTCTTGGACTTTCTCTAGAGCGTTTGCCCGGCCTTATGGTCTTCATGATTTAAAGCAGTTTCTCAAACTGGACACTGCTGATATTTGGGGCCGGAGTGTTTTGTGTGTGGTAGGGTCTTGAGCAGCGGTCCTGGCCTCCACCACTAGACGTTAGTAGCACACCCCTCACCAAATGTGACCACTAAAAATGTCTCCAGACGTCGCTCAATGTCCCCTAGGGACGGTGGAACAGAATCTTCCTTAGCTGATAGAACTCAGAACCACTGGTCTAAAGAGCCCAGCATCACAGAAAGGAGCAGAGTCTGATAAAGGGTTGTCTCCAGGCCTCCCGACCCTCGCAATCTACCCGCTTCCTGGAGAACCCATCACCTTCACTTCTGGTCTTGATGGGAGGTGTGGGCAGACCTGGAGACCCCCGGTGGAATAGCATGCGTGCGTGTGTGCATGTGCGTGCCGTCCAGGTGTGTATGAGGAGGCTGGCTGCAGGATACTTCCGCCTGACACGCTGGTAGTACAGCCTGTGTGTGTCTTTCAGGTGTATGTGTCTGGGGCCGGGAAGTGCAGCCCTGAGTGTGTGGGATGTGCACAGGGCACCTCTGCTCTGCTCAGGCCTGGGGACAGGGGCTTCGTTCTTCAATGCAGGAACATGAGGGTCTGACCTGATGGCGCTTTGCCTGGTGTTTTCCAGATGTTCCCCTAATGGGAAGGGCCAAGTGGATGAGCAGGGGCCCGGCTGAGAGAGAAGCAAGGCGGAGGGGCGGGGTGGCGCTCCTGCTTTCCTACTGCCCCAGACGCAGAATCAGCTTCTGCTCTCTGCTCCTGGGAGGAGGGGAGGAGGGGAGGAGGGGAGGAGGGCTCGAGGGCTCGCCTGCAGGCCTTGGGCTGAGGGAGGAGGCTCCAGACCACCACCGAGGCTCTTCTTTGTGGACATTATTCCACGTGACTTCAGGTGCCCCTCTCAGGGTCTCCCGGTGGCAGGAGGGGACCTGGGCCGGCATAGCCCAGATGCTTCCCTGGGGAGCCTTGGGAGGCACAGAGAGAAGGGGTGGAGAAGGCCCTGAAGACTCCCTAGCCAAAGCCTCGGTTAAGTGATCGCTTCTAAAAGGTTTCACGGGCCTTGAAGGTGCATCCACCAAGGCTGGTGGCCCCCCGGGCTCCTCTGCCCAGACCTGGTTCCCAAGGATCCCTCCCCTCCAGGCTTCTGCTTTCTCCTTCTTGGCTGTCTGTCGTAGAGCCCACCGTTTCTGCTGCTCTGGCAGTCCTGCCACGCACAACCCCCAGCACCCTCCTGCAGCCCCCCAGCTTCCCTGCTTTCCCCTCCTTTCCTCCTTACTCCTCTTCCCGTGTTGTTACCCTGTGCTGAGACAAATCGCCAATTAAGCAGCCCAGCTGCAGGACGGGGAACAGCTGGGGAGGCACTGTGCAGCCATGGGGACAGCTGTGCACAGCTGGTGGGGGCCCTCCCCACCCCCCACCATGCCAGCTATCAGGTGGCACACAGCTGCCGCCAGATAACACCTCTTCTGGCGGCTGGGAGTTCACCCTTCCCCCGCCTCTTCCCTCTGTGGTTAAGATGGTTCTTATTTCTCTGTTTTGCAGCCCCCCACCCCCCACCCAAACTGACTTGATTCATGCCGCAAAGATGGCAGCTCTGGAAATCGGCCCTGACTCCACCTTACCCATCCCAGCCTGGGTACAGCCTTGAGGCTCAGCCCAGATAGGAGACAAGCTCCCCTGGGGGACCTGGCCTGGGGCACTGCATCATTTGGGTGTAGTGCCCACTGGGCACAGAGAGGACCTTGGTTAGCCCCATCAAGCTCCTAGAGGGGTGTTCTCTGTGCCCCTGTGTCTGCTGAATGCCATCCCATCTCTGGCACTGGGAGCAAAACAAAATCCTGAACCGACCCAGCCTCTGGGTCCCATGGCCGAGGGAGTCCTTTCCTGTCCAGCTCTGCTCCCCTCCCAGGCCCCCTGAGCTTGTTATCTGCTTGTCACGGGGCAAGATGGCTCTCCTCCGGCTCACCCCTTGCCCAGTGCACCCAAAGGCTTCATTTTCCTCTCCTGTCAAAAGCGCCCACTGCTGGCTGGTCTGGTCTGGTCTGCAACAAGGGCCTGAGAAACAGCCTGATGGGGCAACGGAGGCAGGAAGGAGCCCGGTGGGGGAAGGATCTACGGGAGGGGGCAGAGGAGAGAAGGAGAGAATTGCTGGCTTCCCACCTTCCCCTGCTCCCGCCCGGCCCAGCTAAACCTGCCCTGTGTTGCTGATTCCTCCCCCCAGGCCCGGCTTCTCTAAAGAAGTCAGGAAAGCTGGACTTCTGCAGTGCCCTCTCCTCTCAGGGCAGCTCCCCGCGCATGGCTTTCACTCACCACCCGCTGCCTGTGCTTGCTGGAGTCAGACCAGGTGAGAAACGGGGGCCCGGAGGGGGGCCATGGGGGAGGCTGCAGAGCACTGAGGGGCAGCTGGCCAGGTGAAAGGGCCAGGGTCCACCTAGGTGACAGCCCCACGCTCTCTGAGGGGGCCATGGTATGGCAGCGGGCGGGCAAGGGAACGGGCCCTCCCTCTGCAACAGCGCTGAGCGGTGAACCAGCCGGCCAGGGGCCTCCTCACCTCGTTCTCAAGCACCCTCCCACTTGCTGCTCACTCCCCATGTGCTTGCGTGTGTGTGTGTATGTGCATGTGTGCTTGTGTGTGTGCGCATGCATCACGTAGGTATGCACATGTGTGCCACAGTGAGTGTGTGCTGTGTGTATGTGAACGTATATACGCACACATGTGGTGTGTGGTACAGGCCTGCCCTGAGGCCTCCTCCCACGTGCCCTATGAGTGCAGAGGCCTCAGGCCTGCCCGGTTCTCCTCTCCTCCTGCCGGCCATGGCTGGGAAAGCTCAGGCCTCTCCCTCTGCACTTACTTCAGCCCTTCTCTCCCAGCTCCTGGCTGAGCCCAGGTTCTGGTTTCCCAGCACTGGCTCAGGTTGGTGTGGGGTGCAGATTGACAAGAGCACTCATAGGAGCCCAGATCTCCTTTTTGGGGTCCCCTGCCCTTTTCCGGTCATGAAGAGCCAGGCCAAGGGACCACCGGTGGCAGCTGTGCTGCTCTATAGCAAACGGAGCTGGCCACCGACTTGGGGGCTCTCTTGCTTCAGTCACAGAGACGGTGCTTGGCGGGGAGAGCATGTCGATGTGCCTGAGGGGATGGCAGGCAGGAAGTTGTGGGAGCTGCATCCTCAGCCTCCCTGCTCCCTCATTTGCTTCTTCCCGCCCTCGGCATCCATCTGGCAGAAAGAGGTCTGGATTTTTTTTGGACACTGCCCCGTGTCCGCCCGCCATCTCCTGGGCCCTTCTATAGGACAGAGAACAGCAAGGTTTACCCTCCAGCTTCCTCCTCGGGGCCTCCTGGCTGGGAGCCCAGAGACAGCCTGAGGTAGGGCGTGGTGGCTTCAAGGTGGGGGCAGGGAGCCCAGGCCGGGACTGCTGGAGGCGGAGGCCCAGCTCCACTCAGCTTTTATGAACTCCAGAGAGAAGCCAAGTTTCCTCAGCCCCCTAATGAAACAGCAAGAGTGAGCTGATTGGAAACAGACGGGAGGGGGAGGACTGGCCAGGGAAGAGCTGGGGCCTGCGCCGGGGTGGGAGTCGTGTGTGCGAGGAGGCGTGTGTGAGGATGCATGTGCAAGTGTGATAGGGCTGAGCATACAAGAATGTGGCCTGGGCAGAGGCGACCAGGTGCACACCCACTCACATGCCGGAGAGCGTGTGCACACTGAGGGGGCCTGTCCTGCGCAGGTGCGGGGCGTGGCTGCCTCCTCTCCTCCCTCGTCCAGGCTCCCACCCAGGCCCTGGACCCTGCTGGGGCTAGTGAGATACTCACCTCGGGCACAGAATGCTAGAGAGTGCCCCAAATCTTAGCTGTCAAGATAAATGACATTTTAATGCAGTCTTTTAAGAATTAAAATTATTGCAAAAACAAACAATGAGCAAATATCAACATTTTAAATAAAAGACGGGACGGACCCCGCACTCGCTTGACCCTGCCTCGCTTGCCTCACCTTAACCCCGGCCCTGGTTCCAATCAAACTTTATTTATGAAGACAGGCAGCTGGTGTGCAGGCCCTAGTTTGCCAATTTGATTTTTTAAAATATTGCATTCAAATGCTGTTTATCTTGATTACTGCGTTTTTTGGTGCTGTCTCAACTTTTGCGCCAGAGGCCAGAGCCTCACTCTCTTTGCCCTGGTCCCGGCCTGCTCCTGCCCATTCTCCCTTTTTCTCTGGATCCTCAGTGCTCTGACCGGCAGGTCCCCTCATCTTCTATCTGCTGATGCCCTTTTCTTCCTGCCCACTTGCACGCAGGGAGCCCTCGGGCCACGGCGTCAGCGCTGCACTTCCCCTCCACATCCATTATCCAGCAGTCGAGCCCGTACTTCACGCACCCGACCATCCGCTACCACCACCACCACGGGCAGGACTCGCTGAAGGAGTTTGTGCAGTTCGTGTGCTCAGATGGCTCGGGCCAGGCCACTGGACAGGTGAGTCCAGAGGCCCAGGAGCCCCGCCACAGCTCATCTCTGCGTCTGTCCATCTGTGTCAGGGTCATAGGGAGAGGGCTCGTGAGCCAGGCGCCCACCTGGGGCTGGAGCAGCAGAGCACCAGTAGTGCGAGCACCTCAGTCTTCTGGTCTGGGGTAGGGGTCTGTGTATCGTGCGGGGGCCTCTCCATCATGGTCCAGAGAGGTGGTGGCAGCGGCTGAGTCCACCTTACTTGGGCTCCTTGCCCTCCCCACGGTCTGTTTCCCCAGCAGGAGTGTACCCATGAGCTGTCCAACCCGGGCCAGACCCCTTACCTCCTAACATTCCTCTTAAACCTCAAGGCTGCAAGGATTTTGTAGGTTCTAGACCAGGGGTTCCTAACCTCGGCACTGACATTTTGGGCCACTCACTCTCTGTGAGTGTGGGATCCTGGGCCCTGTGGAGTGCTGGGCAGTGTCCCTGGCCTTCACCCACTGGAAGCCAGCAGCACCGCCCCCTCCACAGTCATGGTGATCAAGAATGTCTTGACCTCAGAGTGCCCCAGGGGCACAGGTGACAGGCCTAGGTCCACGGGGGCTGTCATGGAGACTCCTGTTGGCAGGACTCTCAATAAGGAGTCCCAGGTTGCTCCTCGTTCTGAAGTGAAGCCTTCCTCCTCCGCTGGAAAGAGACCAGCTTCCCACGGAGCTCTGTTGGGGTGGGGGACACTGACCTTCTCTGTCAACAAGCCTTAGGGTCCAGTCACTGACGAGCAGAAATGCGGGGCCTCTCAGCAGAGGAATTATCTGAGACAGTGGCGGGCTGGAGGCAACCCTCCAGTGGGACGGTGGTCCTCGCTTAGTCTCTGGGAGACCACTCTGGATTGGGACATGGTGGTCTCTAGACCTGGGAGAAGGTTCTGGAGCCTCAGGAGCATGCTGCATTATGAGAAGGCCCAGGTCCTCTCGCTGAGCTGGTTCAGCTTGGAAGCCCGCTGTGATAGGTTAAATGGGGAGGTGGCTCAAAGGGCCAGAACGGAGGAAGCCAGTCAGAAGCCCACGCCAGAGGACACCCAGGGAGAGCAGTGCTGCCTCTGGGCGCCCTGAGCAGGGTGAGAGTTTGCTGAGTGCTGGCGTATTATTGAAGGGTGTCTCTTCATTCCCTCTTCCCTCCCTCCTGCTCTCCCTCCTTCCGCTTTCTGGCTCCTTTTCCCCTTTGCCCTGTAAGGATTTCTCTTGCTGGCTCTTCAGCTTCTTAGCACACTCAGAGCCTTGCCTGCCTCTCTGGACAAGCTCTGTTCACTTTTAGGGGCGTTCAGGGAAAAGCGAATGTGACCCCCAGCAACTGCTTCACTTCCTCCAGAGATGCCGGGAGTGTCTATGGGAACTGCCAGCCCATGTCCCCAAGGGGCCTGGGGCCTGGAGTATGGATCAGAGAGGCAAAGAACCTCACTTTGCCTGACTTCTCACCCACAGAGGCAGCAGGAGTTTAGAGTCATTGAGACAAACCTGGTGGATCAGCTTAGCCTAGAGAGTCAGTCCATCCCCTGGGCGTCCTGACACCTGGGTCCTGAGCCTCTCACTTGACTCAGCTGTTCAAGAGTAGGATTTCACTTGGCCTAGAAGGTTCTCTTCTCAAGGCAGGTGCTTGCTCCAAGTAGACCATGGACAAAATGCTGTAGATGGAGAGACAAACAGCCAGCCACCCTGGTTAAACATGGAGGCTAGCCTGGCTGGGCAGCAGCCTCTCTGGGTTTCCTCTTGTGGCCTTTTGTGCCTAAGAGGGGACGGGATGTCTGCAGTGAGCCTGGTCCAGAGGGCCAAGCTTCTGAGAGGAGGCTAGAGGCGGCACCGTACTGTGGAGGAGAGAGCCAGAGGCCCGGGCTCTGCAGCTGACCTGGTGGCAGGGGATAGTCACACCAGGCTGCATTTGCTTCATGGCCACTGCCAGAACAGTAGTTCTCAAGTCTCAGCATGCACAAGAGTCACCTAGAGGCCTCGCAAACACACAGGTGGCTGGGCCTTACTTGATTCTGATTCAGCAGGTCTAGGTGGGACTGAGAATTTACGTTTTTCTCCAAGTTCCCAGATGCTGCTGCTGCTTCTGGTCAAGGGATCCACTTTGAGAACCACTAATCTAGCGCTTAGAGGAGTAAATTGCTAACTTCCATGAGAATTTGAAGTTATAGATTATCTTTGCAGAAAAATATATGCATACAAGAATTTTACAGATGACTTGCAGAAGGGTTCCCAGGTGCCCCTATAGCTCGTTCTTGGACCCCAGTGCCCGATGGATAAGAACCAGATCAGGAAAGGCCAAGGCTAAATGGAGACACTAGTCAGATGAGATGCAGAGAGCAGAAAGAGGGTACCTGGTCAGCTGTGTTTCTGGCAGAAAGAAGAGACCACCAAGTGAATGCGGTGGAGCAGGACCTGATGGGAGAGCACAACTCTGGAAGGCAGGAGGCCTGGTTCCAGCTCAGCCTCTACCAACGCTGGAGTGGCCAGACCCTCTTCTTCATCTGTCAGATGAAAGCGAGGCGCTATCCAGCCTCTAGGTTTTGTCTAGCTCTTAATTCACAAAGTTTTAAGGCACTACAAAGTCACAAGACCTTGAGGTTTTAGAAACCTCAGCTTGTGCCCCAAGCAGGGCTGAAACATTGTAGCCTAGTTGGAAGTTACTTCTAGAAACCAAATGTTATAAATCAGCAGGTTTGATGTCCTGCCATATCGGGTGGGATTAGCTTTATCAGGTGGGATTAGCAATTTAGATCCTCCTAGGCAGAGACAAGCTCTGGGGACTAGAAGGAGGCAGAGGCCGCCCTGTGGGAGCAAGGGCTGTCTGGAAAGCCCCTGTGTCCCAGCACCCCGGGGGGCCCAGGCTCAAGATGGCCTAGAGAGGAGGAGTGAGGCTGTGATCTGTGGGGTTTCCTGTCCTGATGGAAAAACAAGATAGGGACCAAATAGGCTGTGGAAAGGAAGGACGACAGCTGCCTGTCACGTCTCAGCATCACTCCTACAGAGTTGAAACTCCTCTGGCCTGTGCCTGGAACTGAAGGGTCCATTTCCGAAATGACCTTTGGCACAAAGGATCTCCAGCCCAGGATACAGACAGGGACAAGCAGCCACTGTTGCTTTTGTCAGGGGCTTCTGAGTGAGCAGGAAGGATCAAGTCAAGGGAACTACTTGGAGGGCCAGTGCAGACCTACGCTGGTGATTAGAGGTGGAGGAGGGTGGGTGGACTGGCCAGAGTTCAGAAGGGCGTGGCCCGCACTGGCCAGCCATGGGGCTTTATGGTTTTAAAGTGTAGCAAGGTGGACTAGTTGATTCAACTTCGTGGGACTTGAGTGTTGCATGCCTGGGCCACACAGAGGTGACATTCCATGGCTTGCTGGAGAGCCTGGGTGGCAGTCTGCTCCAAAGGCCCCAGTGAAGGTTAAGAGCATCCTAGAAGAACAGGGCAGAGAGAGATGGATGGTGGTTCATGGAGTCTGGCTGGTCTCCATGTTGAGGACAGTATTTTCTGAGCAGACCTAGAAGGGTATGGGAAAGGGTGTCCTAGATAGAGGGTTCTGCAGGGTAGCCTAGCTGCTTAGTCTGTGTTTGGAAGCCCCAGTCAGTATGCGATGAGAAGTATTTGGGGGGAGGGAGTATGGGAGCATGAGTGCTAGGAGACCCCGTCCGGCCTCCACCATGGGAGCCTGGAGTGCCCAGCCGGGGAGATCATATTTTACATCGGATGCAGTCACAGCTGTAGAAGGTTTCAGAGAATGGTAGAAGTCTTTTGAGGAAGAGTGTTAATGAGCCTGCTGGAGAGAATCCACAGGACCCCTAGAGTCAGGTGGACATGGCTATGAACTTCAGGCCTCAGTAACAGCCGGGTAACTGGATAAACCACATCACTGCACAGAGCTCCAGTTTCCCCGGCCATGAAAGGGGGAGAACAGAGCTTCCTTTGCATCAGGGTTTCCCAGCCGCAGCACTGGCGACGTTTGGGTTGATGAGCCTTTGTCCTGGCTGTTGGAGGATGTTGAGCATCATCCTCTGCCTCCAGCCATTAGGTGCCAGTAGCACCCCCAAAATTGTGCCAAGCAAAATGTCTCTAGACATGGCAGTGCCCCGTCAGGGGCAGACTTACTCCCAAGTGAGAACTGCCTTACAGGTTCACTGGCGGATGGGACACAACGTGAGTAAAGTGCCTGGTACGGAGCCAGGCACCGAGGGCACTGAGCTGATGAGCGCGCTGTCGCATAGAGGAGACACCTCGTGAGTCTCATTGTCATAGTCTAGGCGAAACCAGTGATGACAGTAAAATGGGCTGGCTGGAGACATCAGTGGGGTAGGCTCCCCAAGGGTCACCCACCAGCAGGAGGAGGAGCACAGCAACCTCCTAAAGTCTCACACCTGGCTTGCTGGGAGGGCAGAGCTTTGCCCCATGGGAGAGGGGGCAGTTGAGGATGAAGAGCTCTGGCCCAGACCCCCGAGCGTGGGCTGCAGGTGGTCCTTCGGGACACTGCCCAGAGCAGGAGGAGGTATGTGCCCAGAACTCCAAGGAGATCCTGTAAGAGGCTGGGGACCTTGGCCCCTCTGTGGCACTTACATCCCTGGAAGCCCAAAGGCTGATAAATGCAAGGGCACACATGGGGCCTGGAGGAGGAAATGAGTTTGAGGCACAAGAGGGGATAAAGGAAGGAGTGGATGTGGCGACCCGGCGTCCCCAGCTTCTGAGGGAGTTGCTTGAAGAACTTCGTGGGAGCTGGAGTGGCAGCAATGGATTGTCCTCCTGGGCTCTTCTGTAGCACATAGGCCAGCACTCCATCATCCTCAGGTTGCTGGGGTGAGGGCGAGCCCCCCAGTGCCCAGCGTCCCCCCCAGGCCATGATGCGGGGAAGACAATGGCAGGCCTGCTGTTCTCAGTTGGGTCTTCTGGCCTCAGCCCAGGGGTCCACAGAGGGGGTACGTGTGTGTTTTCGGGGGACACGAGGGTTGCAGTTGGCGCATCTTTCCTGCCACAGGAGGTCTTTAGAAGCGTGTGAGTTCCAGATGCAGCTGCTCTGTGGTTAGGTGGCACCTTGGTACCTACAACGCTTTCCCTAAGAAATAACAAACCACCCGTCGGACACTCCCCTTCCTCCTCCCACAACTTCCAAAGAGGACCACACACCAAAAAAAAAAAAAAAAGAGAGAAACACCTGAGAGACCAAATCGAGGCCTCCCACCCTCACGCACCGGCGCCCCGGAGGAGAGGACCCGTGCTGCACCTTCCGCCGGGAGCGGAGCGCGGCGAGCCGGCGTGGCCGCGCAGGGGAGCGTGTGTCTGTGTGTGATGTGCCTTCATGCGTCACTCTATTTATGTTGTTCGCAGCCCAACGGTAGCGGCCAGGGCAAAGTCCCGGGGTCATTTTTGCTACCGCCGCCGCCTCCAGTGGCCAGACCTGTGCCCCTTCCTATGCCTGATTCCAAATCCACCAGCACTGCCCCAGACGGCGCCGCCTTGACTCCATCACCTTGTAAGTGGACGATGAAACCGAAACCACAACGCCCAGCGTCCCCGGCCCGTCCAGACAGTCTCCACTGCAAAAAGAAAACCCCCCTGCCCCTGCCCACCACCAAATCCCCCCCAACCCGGAGTGCCACGGAGCCTCCCGCCTGGACGAGAGCAGAGCTGAACCCCCCAACCGCGGCCGCCCGGGCCTCAGTCGCACCAGCCAGCACCCCACAAGCCCCCCTGCCCGCTGCTCCCAGCCTGGGCCCTTGGCCCAGGCCCCTGGGGGGGCGGGAGGGGGAGCAAGTGGGGCACAGGCCGGGGTGCTGGCTGGGGTGGGAGGGGACAGGGAGGCGCAGCCATGCCATCTTCATGCCTGATTGCTGTTTTTTTTTTCGTTTTTCGTTTTTTTGTTTTTTGTTTTTTGATTTTTTTGTTGTTTCGTTGTACCCCCCACACCAGGAAAATTAAATGTGACCACAAGGCGACGCCACCACCATCCCCTTTTTGCCTTGTCCCCCTCCTCTCCATTCGGGGCCCTCAGGCCTCTAAGGTGCAGCAGGCTAGCCCCTGACCCCCTCTTCAGTCTCACATTTGGTTTCTCGTTGTTCCTCTTTTTTTTTTTTTTTCCTCCCATCCCTCTCCCTTCCCTCAGTTCCTTCCCCAGGTTGAATGTTCCAAGGACAAGGGAGGGCTCTGGGCCTCGGCTTACTTCATCTCTTTCTCTCTCTTTTCTTTTTTCTTTTCCTTTTTTTTTTTTTTTTAAACCAATAACAACTTTCGTCCAAGGGAAGAGAAAAATCTGAGTTGGGAGGCCCAAGGTAGACCCGACGACGTGAGGGGCGAGAGGTGGAGGGTGGGCGGCGTGCCGTCTGCGGTCAGGGTGGGGGCAGCGCCTCAGGCGCTCCGGGGGCTGGCGGGCCACAGGCCAGGACTTCCGGGGCGCGGCGGGCGGGGCGACCCATCTCACCACTTTTCTCCGTCTCGCGCTGTCTCGCCTTCTCTCATGGTTTGAGTTCTTTTCCCCCTTCCCATCCTCTTCATGCCATCTTCCCATCTGCATCCGCCATAAGACATCAAGTCATGGTCATGGTCATTGGAGGCGGGCAGGGTGGGAAAAGGAGACCAGGCTGTGGGGTGGCTGGGGGCACTTCTGGACAGAATCTGATGAGGATGGGGTCCCTGGGGTGTATCTGGTACAGGGCTGGGGGTGGGGGCCTCCTAGGCAACCTGTGATCCTCCTTGTCCCCTCGGAAGGTGTCCTCCCTCCTGGGGTGCAGGGCCCATTCCTTTCTCTAGGAGTTTCCCAAGCTCTTCCCGAGGCGAGTTCAGGGGTATTTGGCACATTTGTCCCTTCAGGCCCCAGAATAGCTGCCCCTGGGCACCCAAGCCCCAGGGTTCTGCTAGGCCCTCCAGCCTCCTCCTCCTCCTCTTGTGCCTTGGTGCATTTGGGCCTTGGAGACCATAGGACCTGACCCATCAGAGGAGGAAAATGTCTGCCAGGTTTGAGCTTTGCCATCCCTGGGCCCGAGCTGGCAGCCAGCTCCTAGGCTCCTCTCCGACCTCATCCCACTAGGCCCCGCCCTCCCTTGAGCCCCTTCAAGTACTCGGAGCCACCGGCCCAGTCTTTGGGACTGCCCAGGGTGGTAAGTGATGCAGCACCCAATTAGCTGCCCCGGTTGGAGAGGTGGCCTGGCTGAGACCGGCTTCCCCAAGCAGGGTGGGGCCAGTCGGCCAGAGCTCCCACCCTCCCAGGCTTCCTTCTCTCCAGACCTGAGAGGGCCAGTGGGGAAGCAAGGGTACCCCCTTCGGGTGCTTTGGGAGGAGGGCTATTCCTGGCTCTGCCTGGTGCCTGGTTAGGGGACAGCACTGGGGCCATGGGACCTCAGCTGAAGCCTGCAGGGCCCCTCCCTCACCCCTGCCAGGAAAGAGGACACCTGGCTGAGGCGGAGTGCTACGGTTGGGAACAGTGTGTACTCCAGGCCAGTGAGAGGATGAGGGGGCCCTTCGGCCTATCCCTCCCACTGCCAGCCTCAGCCTGGGCAGCATGGTCTAACCCGGTCTCTCCCTCTCTCAGCAGCCCCGAAGGGCAGTGCCCAGGTGGGCCTCAAGGCCTCACAGGGTCTCTTCCTCTCTCCCCTGCTCCCCACAGCATTCGCAACGACAGGCGCCTCCTCTGCCAACCGGTTTGTCAGCATCGGACCCCGGGACGGCAACTTTCTGAACATCCCACAGCAGTCTCAGGTAGGAGCGTGGAGGCGGTCACAGAGGGAGTAGGCAGGAGTTGGGGCATCTTGGTGTCAGGGAAGAGACCAGGGTCTTTAGGGCCAGTCCTGGAGAAAGGGCTGGGGCAGGGCTGGAGGACCCAGGCTTTTGCAGGCCCAGCTGAGCCTGCCTCCCCAGGCAGCCCCCAGGCCCCCTGGCTAATCAGCTAATTGGATAATTAGCTCCAACAACCCTGGCTCTGGGGAAGGCGGCCAAGGACCCAAGGCTAGAGGTGCTCTGGGCCAGGCCTGGTGGAAGCAAAGATGGAAGCTGTCGTCCTCATCAGGAGGACGACAGCATCTGCCCTGTTGCTCTCTTCCTGCTCTGGGGGAAGTCCTGGCCTCCAGCCCTCCCCTCTTCTCTGGCTTTGGGTGGGCTGGGCAAGGCGTAGAGGAAGGACAGAGCCGGCTTGGTGGGCCACGTGCCCAGAGACTCTGGCACCAAGGGTAGGGCAGGGCCCATTGCTGCTCTGGAGGCCCCTCCCCCAAGTCCCTATGAATCTTGTTAGAAGGGCTGCCAATCTTCTGGAGCCCCAGTTCTCACAATGAAATACCCAACCACCCCCAGCCCTCCTGCTGGATGCCCCTGGACCCCACTTTGCACAGGCATCTGTACACACACACACACACACACACACACACACACACACACACACACACACATTCCATCCCCTTTTCAAGCCTGTCCTCAAGAGGCTGGGAATAACTTGCAGAGTCCAGGGCCTTTGGGGCACAGGGAGGACCCTCCTCACGAGCAGGGCGGAGGCAGCTTTTATAGTGTGGGCCTTCTTTTTGCACGTTTTATAAAAACATTACCTTGTGAGCCCAGGGCCTTGGAGGCTTCCTCAGTCCGGGGAAATCTGCCTCGGCCCAGAGCCACAGGCCACCTCTTTCAGCTCCTGCTCCCTCACTGCTCTGAGGCCTGAGTCCAGAGAAAGTTGGTGGATGGAAGTTTTGTATGTGTGGTTTGAGGTTTTGTTTTTTTCCTTTTTCCTTTCCCTCCCTTGAAAAAAAAAAAGCCAAAAACTTTGTCAAACTTCAAACTTCGGAGCTCCCTAGTGGCAAGGAGGGGAGGGGAGGAGAACTTCAGCCCCCTCCAGCTTCCCACCCCCTTTCCCCAGAGTCACGTCTGACCCGTCTGGTTTCCAGGAGCAACCAGACATGATGTAACACCCAGATGAACTTGAACTTGGGGGTGTTGAGAAGAAAAACAATGGCTCCGAGCGGGGGCTGGAGCCAGCCCCCTCTGCTCTGTGCCAGGGAGCCCGAGAGAGCCCCGCTGGCAGAGGGCGGGAGGGGGTGCCAGAGGAAGGGACCTCGGGCAGGCCTCCCCTCCCAGCTCCGGGCTGGCACCGGGCGGCAGGGCTCCACTGCCCCCCGCCCTCCCTCCCTCCTGCTGCCGGCTGGCTGCCTGCAGCTCTGTTCCCCTGCTTGCTCTCACTCTCGGGTGCCATGGCCATGAGCCCTCCCAGCTCACTTGGTTTCCGCCTCCATGTGCTTTTCCTTCTGCACTTTCTCTGCTCACTTTGCTTGGACACTGGGGCCAAGTCAGAGTTTGAAGCAAGTTTGGGAAGCGGTTTTTCTCCCTGTCGTTCCCACAAGGGGCCTGGGCCCTGGGCCCGGCACAGGCAGGTGTGTCCAGGGGTGGTGGGGGGACCAGAACTGGACAAGCCTAGCCGGGAGCCTTCGGGCCCGGGGGCAGGCAGGCGGCTGCAGCGGGTGGGCGCCAGGGGTACAGTGGGGGGTGGTTTCCACAGTAACCAGTGACTTTAGCTGATCTCTGGAGCACCAGATGGAGAGAGAACAATAGAATGAGGGAAGAAAAGAAAATTTTAGCAATTTTGTCATTCCCTGGGCAGCGCTTTTTACTTAGTTTTAATCAATTTTGGACCTGGCTCAGGAAGCAGGGAGGGGTAAGCATAAAAGCCATTCGGTGCCTGGCAGCAGATCCCCATTCCTGGGACTGGTCAGGAGGTGGCAGGGACCCCACTGGAGCTACCTTTCTCCCTAACTCCAGGCCTGGAATTGGAGTCTTCCTCCTCTGAGAAGTCTCCCTAGTCTGAGCACTGCTGGTTGTCCCCCTGCCATGCAGCTCAGAAGACCCCAGAGGGGCCAGCCTCCGGCCTTGGCCTGGCCAGCCAGGGGCAGAGGGGCCAAGTAGCCCCTCCCTGGTCATCCACAGGCCTTCATTTCCCTCAAGAGGAGGAGGGGCAGGTTCACAACCAGGGCAGAAGTAGAGGGTTCCTGTGTAGCCTCTCCTTGGGAAGGGGGTCCCAGAGGGCACCAAGTCAGGGAAGGAGGCTCACCCAGGCAGCTCCCCACCTCCGCGATCCAGGAACAGGAGCTGGCTGCTTCCCCTCCCCCTCCATACTGGGCATACCTCGGGCCTGGGTTCCTGCCATGCCTCGCCAGGCCCCCGTGAGCCTCAGTTTTGCCTTTCGTCCGTTGATGGGGTCGGACTCTGGGCGGGTCTCTGTGCATGTTGTCCAGCACATGGCAGGAAGTTTAGCATCTCTGCCCACCCAGTAAACACAGCATCACCCCAGTTACTGCGACAACCCCAAACCCCCATGTTCTCAAATGCCCTCCAGCTGCAGCATCCAGTGGAGCTAGCCACTGGCCACGTGTGGCTGTTTAAATTAAATAACGAGAAAAATTTGGTCCTTCAGTCATACTAGCCCCATTTAAAGTACTTAGAAGCCATGCTTGGCTAGCGGCTACTGCACTGCACAGCACAAATAGAGAACATTTCCATTGTCACAGAAACTTCTAGGTGATCTCTGAGGCTTTTTCTAACTGTAAAATTGAATATCTCTATCTCACAGTGGACAACGGTCTGCGGTCCCAAACCAGAGCCTGAACGGCAGGTCCGGCTTGCAGGCATAAACTGTGTGACCAAAACAAATGTTTCAAATATTGGAAATTTTCACGTGAAATTCTGTCTGGACTTTTGGCTTCTTTTGAGAAGTTGGCTGATGTAGCCGCCCCAGGCCCTCACAGTGATGTGGCAGCCTTGGCCCTAGGCAGGGTGTGGGCGTTCTGGCCACCACAGAACTTGTCTCCCTGTGAGCACGCCACACGTAGCAGTTAGGAGCATTGACTCTGAACTGCCCCCTGCATTTGAGTCTCGGCTCAGTCACGGGCTGTGTGGCCTCAGGCAAGCCAGCCACCCTCTCTTCACCTGCTTGTGTGGAGGCTGGAGTGCGAGTAGAATGAGCCAGGTCCTGGTGGGTGCTCTGTGGTTCGCTCTGCTTGGCCCCTGCAAATCCGAGTCTGTGACCCAGAGCCTGGGAGAGGCCCCAGGATGCATTTTCAGGGACCCCCATTTTGCCCCAACGGTACCACCAGGCATACCACTGCACTGTAGACCATAGATGAAGAGCCCCCAGCCCTGCTCCTTGGCCACTGAGGTGGGCCAGAGCATTTGGTGAAGGACATTGCCAGATGTGGTGGGTAAGGTGAGTGAGGGTGTCTATCCTGGGTAGGTTTTGTGCTGAGTGGCCACCGAGGCCCTTTTGTGGGAAGGCAGCGCCCCCTGCTGGCACCCCAGGGAAGTGACACTTGCCCCATGGAGCTGCAGGTCCTTCCCCAGGGCTATTGCTCTGAAGGTAGAGGATCAAGGGGGTGGGTGTCTACCCGCTCCTCCCCTGGGCCTGGCACAGCTAGAGACCGAAGCCATGTGGTGTCTCCCTCTCCCCAGCCTTTCAGTCTGTGGGACCTTGGCTGGGGTGTATAGATGGGAATTTCTGCTTTTAATCCAAAGAGACAGAAAAAAACTCAGTGAGAAGCTGGGCCACCTCCGCTCCACTCCCAAAACCTCTTGAGGGACAAAAGCTTCAGCCTGGCATCCTCCCACCCTCCAGGACCCACACAAAAACCTAAACAATTGGAAACATGGCCAGATCCCAGGTCTGTGCCTGTGCCAGCGCCAGCCACGGGGGTCCCACCTGCTGGGCATGGTGCCCACGGGAAGGCCAGCTGGACCCTGGCACTGGGGGCAGGGTCTCTTGGGAGGCAGGATTCCCATAGGAAGGACAGACAGAAGGGGGATGTACCTCTCCGTGTGGTGTTGGTGTCCTTGGCTCTACTGGAGCTGGGGCCACGTAGGAGTGAAAAGGGACCTGCCCCTGCTGTTCTCAATATCACCTCTTTTTTGTCCCACTTCAGTCCTGGTTCCTCTGATAAGATCGACAAAAGAAATGACAAAATGAAAAGAAGAGGTTCCTCAGACGGGGGGAGAAGAAATTTTGAGACGTGGAAAAAAAAATCCCCCAGCCCAGCCCAGCCCAGCCCAGCCCCACCGAAAAGCAAAAATTAGACGTCGTCAGCCACTCAGCCCTTCTCTCCTCCAGCCCAGGGACCCCTGCAGGCCCCCCGAAGCAACCCAGTTCTCGGAGAGCCCTCAGAAGAGGTCTCAGCGGAGCTGTGCACCAGCAGTCAAGCAGAAAGAAACATGCAAAACGGACTCTGCCAAGCAGAGGACAGAAAGAAAGGATGCAGCAGAACTGCCTTCCTCCCCCATCCCGTCCCGGCCTTCTGGGGAAGGAACGAAATCCCCAAACAAAGCAACCAGCACCGTTCCGAAGGGGCCTGTCCCCCACGCTCGCCCTTCCTGGGGGAACCCCACCTTCAACTGGGGCCAGAGCTTCACTAGGGAGCTCAGAGGATCAGCTTGTAAAGATGAGGGGTGCAGATCCAGAGGGCGCTCCCCTCCAGACCCTGCCTTGGCCCTCCCTGACCGCCATCGCCTCTGGCTTCTTCCCCCAACTGCTCCAGACCAGGAGAGGCAGGGTGGCCTTTGCGTCCCCCTGGCTAGAAGCCCCCGGGTGGGCAGGGGGTGTCCCCTGGAGCTAGTTTTGTGCTCTCGGAATGGAGGGTGTTTTGCCACCCCATCCTGAGCCGCAGGGGTAGTTCCCAGGGCCCCAGACCCCTCTGTACAGTCCATAGGAAAAAGAATACTCTCGAAGGTCCCGTCCCAGCCTGGGACAGGCCCTCTCTTCCCTCTCTCCGCAGGCAGGCAGGCTGGGAAGGTCGCCCTCCTGCCATGACCCGAGTGAGGGGAGATGTGCCCCAGGTCGCCCCCACACCCCAGCCCGCATGCAGGTGCCCTCTCACCACCCCATCGGTCCCTGCCCCTGCCCCTCATGCAGACAGCCCTGCTGTGGCCGGGCCGGAGAGTGGAGCAGAAAGGGGACCCTGGATCGGAGCGAGGAGATCGGGCGGCCGCCGCTGCCCCCTGCTAAGCAGCCACCTGCGCTAGGTAGGCGTCCTGCTCGCCCACTTTCAGTTCCTTTGGAGGGTGTTGGGTGTCGTCCTTTTTCAAAAGTGTTTTGGAGCTTTCTCTGCCCCCCCCCCCACATTGCCCCCTTGGCCACTTCTCTCTGGATTTCAGCTGTAATGTCTTTACTCTTTATTTCGGGGTGGGGCATTCATTGTTTGGGTCTTTTGCTGTTGCAATTGGGAACTCCTCCTCCATTTGAGCAACTTGGGAACAATTTGGTAACATATCACAGGAAGTAGCTCCCCCTCACTGCAGCCCCCTCTTCCCTCAAGGGAAGGTAGGGGGCCTCTTCAGAGGGTCTTCAGAAGCCCCCCTGCGAGGGAGGGAGCACGAGAATGCCCAGCCCGGCTCCAGGGTGTGACTTGGCCCCTCTGGCTTGTCTTTCTGTGCCTTACTCCTTCCTGCCTGCATCTCCCCTCCTAGACCCCTTTCTAAGTCCTTGTGCCTCTCTCTTTCTCTCTCTTAACTGTATGAAAACACAAAGCACAGGTCAGGATCCTCCGAAAGTCAATCAACCCAACATTGCACCGCAGGGGTGGGTTATGGGCTTTATTTATTGTGAATCTAGTGTGTGAGGCTGGGGCCCAGTAGGCGCGGGGAAGAAAGGAGGGGAGGGAGCTGTCTGGGGAGGAGGGGTGGGCCTTCACCTGGGGCAGAGGGGGCCAGCAGGTGGTGCCTCCGCCCCAGTCGGAAGCCACAAGGTTGCTGGCCCCAGGAGTAGCTTTTGTTGGATGTTGAGAGAAGGCCCTCCCCCATCCGCGTGCGGCCCTCGGGGAGCACGGGGACTGAGAAGCAGGGGACTGGGGACCCCGCGGGAGCCTGCCGGGCGTGGGGTGT